AGGAGCTATCACCTGGTGCCAGCAAGATGTCAAATTCATAAACTCTGTCTCTGGGAGACTACCTAAATGAGTCTTTCTCTAAGCCTGACTTGCACAGATTTTACTTTATATGTAGAAATTACAGGTTGAGTACAGCAATCCTCTACAGCATCCCCAAACCAAAACATTCTTCATAAAACAGCTGCCTAACAACCAGACTTACCAACCTCTAAAAGGACAGTATCCCCAAATTCATCTGCATGTGGGTCTCCTGCTTTCCAGTGCTCTGCAGCTGCTCACTGTTGACACTAATTCTGCAGCTGTTCTAGTTATTGGGTGGTACTGAGAAACTGATGTGACTCCATTTTTGAGAAACCAGCCTCTACCTCAGAGCAAAGCCTGTCCAAGGAAGGGGGCGTGACCTTTGTCCTTGGAAAAATCCACAGAGCACTCCTAGGCATATACCCACCCTGTTGAGTTGTTTATCTACAAATAACAAGAGAGATCAGTGGCGCCAGGTGTCCCTGACTCAGTCAGGCTAGGTAAGAACCCATAGCAACCCCCTAGCAACCACCAATCAGCATGAGACAGGGAAAACACCTGGGATGCCAGATGACCCTCCCAGTAGTTTATGGTGGTTGACAACATGTTGGGAAACCATGAAGTTCAGCACGAACACCCCTCGTGGCTTAAACCAATCAGTTCAAACGAATCCCCCTCTTGTACTAACCAATCACCCTTACCCAACTTGTTCCCGCCAGTGAAGGTGCTAATCATGTTTTAGAGTTTTATGATTTTTCCGCAGTGTGTGATGATTTGCTAAGAGATGCTATGCTATATGTGGGGTCCCTGCCCTCCCCAAAGAGTGTATAAAACTGCTGCAAACCCTGGGCTCAGGGGCCTCTCAGCATCACCTGTTGCTGTGTTCGCGGAGGACCGAGCTAGCTCTCAATAAACGTCTCTTTGCTGCTTACATCGATCTTGGTCTCTGGTGGTCACCTGGGGGTCCCGAACTAGAGCATAACAGTACAAGATCCTACCTGGGAAGAAAAGAGACTTGGACATAATGCTCTCTGTTCCAGAAAAATTCAGAGTCAAATTGGTATGAAAAGTCAGCTTTGAAGGAAAATGAAAGGCTCTTCATTGTTTTGAAAGTTTCATCTCCCAAAAGCTCTGAGAGGAGGAAAGCTTTTAAAAAGAGGAAGTGTGCATTAGGACAAAAGTTCACAGGTTTCCCTTCATAGTCATTAAAGTCCAAAAGAATTTCACGGGTTGGGTTGTGACTCCTTTGTATCCAGGAACCATCCTTATCACATCAAAAGGAGCTGGCACTTCCTGGGGCTAGCATGTGTATCTCCCCTAACATGGAGAAGGGAAGGTGCTTCAAAATACAGTGTATTTCATACTGAGCACCAGGAGATTGGTCAGGAATAGTGGAAGGCAGCTACCCAGTGGCACTAAGGGGAACTTTACTGCTCTCCCTTGGCAGGCTAAAGTCTGACCTCAGCTTGGAATCCTTAGGAGGCAAGGAGAACACTAAGATACTTCATACACATTTATAAACTTTCTCTGAGAAAGCAAAGATGCCCGCCAACTTATTTTCATGTGAACAAACATGGAACCAATCAATCAAAGTGTATAGCCCCTTTTGCATCTATTCCAGCATTTCCCATGTACTCTCATTCCCTTGTGCAACCTGGTAATCAGTGCCTGGGGACTGACATGTGCTGTTTACAGTTTTGAAGCTGTCTCCAGACCCCATCCTCACTAAGCCATGCACTCCACACCACAGCTACATCTTAAGCATGCCAGGAACACATTTCCCTTCAAGAGTTTTATCTGGCTCCAGGTTGCACCCTCCTAAGCCCCTCTCACACCTCTCCATTTAACAACAGCATGGAGAAATTGGGCTGGCTATTTATCCAATCATATCATTCTTTTGTGTCATCCGTTTTGAGCCTGTTGATATCTGGAACATCTATCAGTGGGTTGCTAGGAAGAGGATCAATGTTTGTATTCTCACCAGATCAGTTTCAGAGACTGCTTAAAATTAATCCAGACTGGAAAACCCACAGACTTCTTGATTTAGGTGCTGGAGATGGAGAAGTCACAGAAATCATGAGCCCTCATTTTGAAGAAATCTATGCCACTGAACTCCCTGGAACTATGATATGGCAACTTCAGGAGAAGAAATACAGAGTGCTTGGAATGAATGAATGAATCAATCAATGAACAGGGGGTTTCAGTATGATGTCACCAGCTGCTGGAATTGCTGGACTGCTGTGATCAGCCCCTGACTTTGTTAGAAGGTATCAGAAGTGTCTTGGAGCCAACTAGAGGCAGAGTCATTCTTGCCCTTGTCCTTCCTTTTCATCCCTATGTGGAAAATGGTGGCAAGTGGGAGAAACCATCAAAAATTTTGGAAATCAAGGGACAGAATTGGAAAAAACAAGTGAATAGCCTGCCTGAGGTGTTCAGAAAAGCTGGTTTTGTTAACGAAGCTTTCACCAGACTGCCATACCTGTGCAAAGGTGACATGTATAACTACTATGTTCTGGATGACTACTTAGTTCTCAAACCAGTACAGACTGGTGGAGGCCAGAGTCTGTAGAATCTGTCCCAGGATCTATCCTTCAGAAGAGGGTTCACAGTTATGTGATGGGAGGACCTTTGGGGAAAGCCATTCTAAACAGTATGTAGGAATTTAAAAAGCCAAAATACTAATTATTTCTTTGTAGTGTGTAAAACGAATGTTTTTAAACAACAAAAACCCAACTCTGGATTTTTATCAACTCTTTACTCAGAGCTGTTCTTCAATGCAGGTCACACACCAGTTATGATGGAAGATATCTTTTATACTTAATTGCAGTTGGGACTCACTCCCAGACAAAGCAATAGTCATGACTTCATGGAGCCAATAAATGGATTGTTTTTAATAAAATGAAGACTGGTAATAAAGTTGTCCATTGAATTCCAAATATTACTTGTAAGGTATAGCCACTGATATTCTTTCATGTTTAGAAACTGTTATTCAAGAAAATGTTTTTAATTGCTGAGAGCCATAGCCAAGTAGGAATGACGCATGGCAATTTCCTTGTCAGCCTACCCAGCGCCTGCTCCTTGAGTTCCCGTTGAGTTCTCTCGGTATGCAGAGCCCGGTGGAGGGTGTGGATTTTCCCAGAACGTGCGTGTAGAGTGCAGGTGAGAGAATAAAGAATTGCTGTTTGAATCTACAAGGCTGTGAGTGGCTCGTGATTTTGTGCCCAGCCAGACTCCGGCATTTAATCATGCTAATAAACTTTTTTTTTGGAGATAAAGAAAAAGAATATAAAGCACAAGATCGTGAAACTGACAAGGATCACAGAAGAAGTGGCATTTTCCCTAGACGATTTTGAAGGACAAAGAGATTCCCAGGCAGGTTTTCTTTTTTCTTCTTCTTTTGGCACTGGGGATAGAACCCAGAGACACTTTACCATTGAGATTCTTTTTAGACAGAATCTCACTAAGTTACTTAGGGCCTTATAAGTTGCTGAGACTGACCCTGAACTTGGGATCCTACTGCCTCAGCATCCTGAGTTGCTGGGATTACAGGTGTGTACCACCACAACCACCCCAAGCAGTGTTAGAACAGCATTCTTGCAGAGGAAACAAAGGCACAGGATGTACTAAGCATGGAAAGAGGGAAATCTGGAAATTCGGCTCTTTATGTATTCATGTGCTATCGTTCCTCATATTTCATTGTCCTTGTACTTAAACCAACTTAGACTCTTTATCAAAATAAAATAAATGGAGCTGGAGATACAGCACAACAGTAGAGCATTTACTTAGAAAGTGTGAGGCTCTGGGTTCAATGCCCAGAACTGTAAAAGAAAGGAAAAGGTCTCTTTGAGTCCTGAACTAGTCTGCAGGCCTGACACAGCAATTTGATTTTCTTAGACTTAGCTGTAAGAAATGTTGTAGAGGGCTGGGGTCGTGGCTCAGCAGCAGAGTGCTCGCTTAGCATGTTCGAGGCCCTGGGTTCCATACTCAGTACCACATAAAAACAAATAAATGAAATAAAGATATGTCTAAAATTAAAAAATAAATATAAAAAAAAGAAATGTGGGCTGGGATTGTGGCTCAGCGGTAGAGCACTCGCCTAGCGCGGGCGGGACCTGGGTTCGATCCTCAGCACCACATAAAAATAAAGGCATTGTGTTGTGTCTATATACACCTAAAAAATAAATATTTTTTAAAAATGTTGTAGAGATGATAACTGTAATTAATTTGATAGGGAAGTCTAGCGTGAATTTCCAATTACAGAGAATCGCTATCCCACTGAAAAAGAATTTTATTCTTCTCAGTTGCTAATCTGTATTACAAAAACATGTACTCATCACAATATTTTCAGTGTTTCCAATAAAAATTTTTAAAACAAAAAGCTAATATGTGTTAATCTATAATTTGTTTGAAACATTTAACAAACACTAACAATGTATGCACAGAAATCTGATTTGAAAATATACATCTACTGCCATATCATGGGCATGTACAAATATGTAAAAATGAATTTCACCATTATGTGTAATTATGATGCAGCAATAAGATGGAAAAATATGCCATCACATACGCATAACCCATCATGTGAGGTCAGTAGGATGTTGGCAACAATGAACAAAGACTCATTCTTCAGTGGCCTGTTAGCCACAAATATTGAAAAACAACATACAAACTAAGACTAATTGCATATAGGAAATAAAATTCAATTTGCTTTTGATCCAACATGGTTCAAAGTGTTAGAGGGCTCACTACTTGATTTGATTAAGAATACACTACCTAGGAAATTCAGATAGTACAGCCTAAACAAACCTTGCACAAGTGTTTCACCTCAATCTTTATTTTGAAGAATACAAATCAGAAACACACAACGCAGAGATCTACTTTAAAAATGAATACACACACACACACAGGCTTTCTCTCCAGTGTGCATTCTGTCATGTATTTTAAGGGTGGAGGAATAACTGGAGGCTTTCCCGCACTGCTCACATGCATGTTTTCATGTCACTGTGAATTCTTCGATGTTGTCTAAGGGTATGGGGATCACTGTAGGACTTGCCACATTGCTTGCACACGTAGGGTCTTTCTGCAGTGTGAATTACTTCATGTCTTCTGACTAAATAGGAGTGAATGAAAGCTTTCCCACAATGTTTACAGGCATAGATTTTCTCTCTAGTATGAATTCGCTCATGTATTCTAACAGAGCTGGAAGAACTAAAGCCTTTTCCACATTGCTTACATATGTAAGGTTTGTCTCTAGTGTGAATTTTTTCATGTTTTCTCATTGCATTGGAATGACTGAAAGCTTTCCCACATTGTTCACATATATAAGGTTTCTCTCCACTGTGAATTCGCTCATGTATTCTAACAGAGCTGGAAGAACTAAAGGCTTTTCCACATTGTTCACAAGCATAGGGCTTCTCTCCACTGTGAATTCGTTCATGTATTCTAACGGAGCTGGAAGAACTAAAGCCTTTTCCACATTGCTTACATATGAAGGGTTTTTCTCCAGTGTGAGTTTTTTCATGTCTTCTGATGGCATAGGAATGAGTGAAAGCTTTCCCACATTGTTCACAGGTATAGGGCTTCTCTCCACTGTGAATTAGTTCATGCATGTGAAGGGAACTGAGAAATGGAAAACCTTTCCCACACTGATTACATGTATAGGGTTTCTGTTCACTGTGATTTCGTTCATGTTTGATAATGGAGCTGGAGGAAAGAAAGCCTTTTCCACATTGCTTACATACATAGGGTTTCTGTCCATTGTGTGTTATCTCATGTATTTGAAGGGATCTATGTAAATGAAAAGCTTTCCCACATTGTTTACATGTATAGGGTTTCTCTCCACTGTGAATTAGTTCATGTCTTTTCATGTATCTAGAAGTACTAAAGCCTTTCCCACATTGCTTACACACATAGGATTTCTCTCCGTTGTGAATTTGTTCATGTACTTTCATGCGGCTTGAAGAACTAAAGCCTTTTCCACATTGCTTACACACATAGGGTTTCTTTCCACTGTGATTTCGTTTATGAATTTGAAGGTCATAGTAAAAACGATAGGCTTTTCCACACTGTTGGCAATTGTATGGTTTCTCTCCACTGTGAATTCGTTCATGAATTTTAATGTAGCTGGAAGAACGAAAGGCTTTTCCACAGTGCTTACACACATGGGGTTTCTCACTTATGTGATTTCTTTCATGTCTTTTAAGAGATTTGAGACAACGCAAGGCTTTTCCACAGTGCTTACACACATTGGGTTTCTCTCCTGTGTGAGTTCTTTCATGCTTCTGAAAATGCTGGGGATCATGCAAGGCTTTCCCATCTTCCTTATATTCATATGGCTTCTCTCCATGTTCCTGATACTCATGTGCTCTGTGTCCAGTGTGAGCTGTCAGGGGCACAACTAGGAATGGATCAGCAATGGTGACTTCTCCACACACATGATGTTCACTTGGTTTTACTCCAGAAGAATGTATCCTATTTTCAAGAGGATCTATGATGTGGCTGAGGACCTCTCCACATTGACCATCTTTTTTCTGTTCATAGAATCTCTCTAAAACTTGAATTCTGCAAAGAATGAAAATGACATTACTAAGGATTGATTTATTAATAATTTAGCAGAAGAATTGGCTTTGTGCTGTGTAAGCTTTACTACTGAGCTACATCTCAGTCCTTTGAAAAAAAATTTTTTTTGAGACAGCCTCTTAGTAAGTTGCTCAGAGCCTCACTCAAGTGCTGAGGCTAGCCTTCCACTTGTGATCCTTCTCCCTCAGCCTTCCAAGTTGTTGGGATTAGAGGTATGCACCACCACCAAGTTCAGGTTTCTAAATAATCCTGTCAAGTTAAGATTTTATTAACCCTGAAGATGTTTATCACTTGTGAATATAACTGATCACTACTTATGTGAAAAGCATGGGACAAAACTCAGATTGGATTTGTGATCTTTGCATATACACAGTAAAATATTTTCAAAATGGGTCCTACCTGAAGGTAATTTCATACATTTCTAATAAATTGTGTATGGAAAACAGTCTGTGTACAATAAACTACCAGAAAGTGTCACTTATGACATCAAGTCTGTTCCAGATGCTGCCTGCACTGGAACATTTTGGATTTTTAACATTCCAATTATGCATGCTCAACCTATATGGACTGTTGTAAGAAAATGGAGATTAAATTAATTTGAACCTTGGCATGTATCATTTCCTTCCTTTTATGATTTTTTATAAGTTACTCCCAGATTTGTGAGGAACATTGCCTTCACTTGTGAGTTCAATTACCTTAGATTTCCCTTGGAACTGTAGTGATCATCGTTGGCCTGATTTTTCCATTGTTTTCCTAAAATGCAGACCCAGAAACATTATGACTTATTTCAACATTACAGAAAAAACTATCAGAGTCTTGTAGATCTGTTGTATAATGTCACCATGCTAGTATAGCATGTGGGTTTTCCATATTCCAGATCATGGAACAGAACTCATAAGCAAGTAATAACAGTTCTCTGATTGACAAAGTGAGGGGAAAAATGTCACCCTTACCTATAGTGGTCAGGTTCCAGAAGGTTTCCTGCATCACATCTCTGAAGAGCATCTTCTGGGAAGGATCCAGCAGAGCCCACTCCTCCAGGGAGAAGTTCACAGCCACATCCTCAAAGGTCACTGACTCCTAAAACATCCCAGATATTCCCAGGAGGAAGGTGAGACACACAGCACTGGAGACCTGCATTCACTGTGTGAGAATTTCACATGATATTATGTCCTCCCAATACTCCATCACCTGGTGTCACACTCTTACTCTCCAGCCAGGCTCACATAGCAATTCTGGTGCTGAATTGCACCTACTGGTAGAGAAACAGGGAGAACAGGAACACTGGCTGTGCTGCTGGGTCTCTCCATTTCTCTTTGTACCATGGTCTCTAGTACCTCTCACATCAAAGTCCAAAATGTACTGCACATAATAACAGTAGCTGTCCTGAGACAGCATATTCTTAGAAATACTTGGAAACAAACTTTGATCTATGTTGCTCTCTGGGAACTACTGTTGGGATGGACTTCACCAGCTTAACTGCAAGAGGGGTTTGGGGTTCCCAAGCAGGTTGTCCCAACAAAATGCAGCCTGTAAGTGCTGTTGGTCCTCTACATGTTTTCAATATTCTATATGCTTGACAGAGGTTGTCCATCTCATCAGTCCTCAAAACACACTCTGGATGATGAATCTCTAGTGGACTGGTATGTCAGATCGAATTTGAAACCTCTTTTTACAACTCATTATTTAGGGAATCCAGTACATCCTTGGGATTGTACAAAGGGACCACAACTGGAAGCCTGTACCTTAGGTTCTGTATGTCAATCAGAATTAAATAGTAAATAAGACTCATGAATTATAATTCAGTAGACTAATAGGTAATCATTAAAGGTTTGGTTGGAGAATGTCAGAGCAGAATAAAATAAGGGGAAAAGTGTACATGTTCTTAAAAAGATTTCACTGTCACCAAGATGTAACTGGTAAATGAAAGTATAAAATTGCAAAATGTCAATAACAAGACTTTTACTAGGACAATCAAAAACAATTCATGCCTGCTGCAGTGGCATACATTTATAATCCCAGCAACTTGGACTTACCAAGACCCTGTCTTAAATAATTAAAAATAAATGAAATGAATAGATTTTTTTTTTTCAAAGGGTAAGGATATTGCTCAGTGCTTTAGGGCCTGTAGCAATCATTACCCAAACCGAAGGAAAAAAAAAAAAAAGGAAAGAAAACAGGAAAAAAAACAGCTTATCAAATCCTCTAGGTGTACTTAATGTCTAACAACATTTAAACTCATTAGAATAAGAAACTGATCATTTGGCTAATATACATAAAACATTTTGAAGCCACACAATTTGGAAGACTACACTATTAACAGAAAGATTATCTAACAGATCTTGAAAAAGAAAAGAACAGTCAGTCATCCCACATGTGGACAGAGAACTGATTCATGACACAGCAGGCGTTGCACAACAGTGGCAGACACCCCATTCTCTCTATAGTTGAGAGAGGGACAAAAAGTTATCTGGACAGGCAATGTGTCCCCCTCTACTCCAAGGATGAAACACAGAGTACACAGTAAAACCAGAAAAACAATACTGGAATAGTTTGAGAAGCCACAAATATCTTTTAAACATAGAAAATAGTGTTTCCAAATTTAAAAAGTAATATTTCCTAAAAAATAAGTAGAACAATTTACATCTATGAAAATAGAGAAAGGTAAAAGACAACAACGTACAAAAATTTTTGCAATACATGGCATGAAAAAGGACAGCGTGCTCCAAGGCTTTGTGGCACACACCTGTAATCACAGCTATTTGGGAGGCTGAGGCAAGAGGAGCCCAAATTCCAGAGAAGCCTGGGCACATAGTGAGACCCTGTTTCAAAATTAATATGAAAGCGGGGCAAGAACAGTCACACAAATCTGTAATCCCAGCGGCTTGGGAGGCTGAGGCAGGAGGATCGCTAGTTCAAAGCCAGCCTCAGCAACTCAGCGAGGCCCTAAGTAACTCAGTGAGACCCTGTCTCTAAATAAAATATAAAATAGGGCTGGGGATGTTGCTCAGTAGTTGACTGCCCCTGAGTTCAATCCCTGATATCCCCACCCCAAAATAAAAAGGGCTGGAGACGTTATGTTAGGCCAGTGTGAGAGCAGTTGCCTAGCATGTGAAAAGCCTTGGGTTCAGTCCCCACTAACCCCACCATGAACATAGACATAAGATTGATATGCAGAACAAAAATAAATGATTGCATTTATTTTGTTTACATATAGTAAACATTTTAACTCAATATAAAACACCAAAAAGAGAGCTGTGTCCTTGTTTGAGGAAAAAGCCAAATACATATAAATATTGAAGATCATAGCAAAACAACCGAGGTTTATACATAAATGGAGGATAAATTGATGCATATCACTGACACTGTAATTTCAAGTTTCAAAGCCATACAATTTGGAAGACAAAGACATTCATTGGGCAAGTGGTGCACTCCTGTAATCCCACTAAGTCAGCAGACTAAGGCAAAAGGAACATAAGTTCAAGGCCAGCCTTGGCAACTCAGCAACACTGAAACTCTAAACAAAACATGAAGAAGGGCTGGGGGTATAGCTCTATGATGAAGCTTCAATCCTCAGTCCCACCAAACAAAAAAGCAACCAACCAAACAAAAAAGACCATAGAGTAAATTGCAGGTTCCAATTAAAACAATTATATGAAACCATCATTATAGGTGTTCCATGGTATACTGGAGCAAAGAGAACAAAGAATCAGTTAAGATGAAGTTAAATGATTGAAATTATGCAATCTGAAGAAGGAAAAGAAGAAGAAAAAAATTTAGAGACTGTTTCACCAGTGTATCTCCTTGTCTACCTTTTGGAAAGAAGTTCTTTAGGGAGAAGCAAAAAGATGTAGGAACAGAGATGTAAAATGAACAGAAAGTAGTTTACAAATATGGTATATATTAATCCAACCATATCAATAATCACTTTAAATGTGAATGCTCTACAGACAGAATGGTAGAAAACAAGATCCACCCTTGTGCACTTTATGAAAAAAAAAAGTTTTAACTATCAAGACATCAGGTCAAGAGTCAAAACTTTTCTTATATATGAGAAATAAATTCAAGAAATCTAGTACTGTGAGAAATCATTAGAGAAGTATGTTTACAGTTCCCTCCTCCCCACCCCACAAAAAAAAAATGTATGTGAAGCAATGTATTTGGTAATTAGCTCAATTTAGCCATTCAACAATGGTTAAAGGCTGGGGATATAGGTCAGTTGCTGGAGTGCTTGCTTCACATGCACAAGGCCCCAGGTTCAATGCCTACCATCTCACACATGCACAAAAAAGGCTACATTGTGTGAGTGTGTGTGTGTGTGTATGTGTGTGTGTTAGAGAGAGATGGAGGAAGGTGGGGAGGGAGAGAGAGAGAGGCGGGGGGAGAGGTGTTTACATGGGTTGAAACCAGGAACATTCAGTTGTAAGTTACATCCCCAAGCCATTTTTAAATTTTTATTTTGAGACAGGGTCCAAGGTGCATAGGTTGGTCTTGGATTTGCTATCTTCCTCCTAAGCCATTCAAGTGGATGGATTACAGGTATGCCCCATGACATCTGATTGAAAGCACCATGTTCGAAATTACAAATAAATTCCATTTTTATCTATTAACAATATATAGATATTTTCAAAATAGATCAATACGAAAACATAGATGAATTAATTATAAAGTTATGCCCATTCTTGTATTGATCCAAAAATAACTTGAAAAGTTCTCTTAATGCTGTACTAATCAAGCTGTATCTCAAACAAAATAAGGAATAAAGGGATTAAATAATGATAGAACAGTTGATTCTCTAAGAAAACATAACAATCCTTAATATATACACTCCTAAACAGAGCATCAAATCACATGAGGCAAAACATGGAACTGAAGGGAAAATCACAGATCACAATTATACCTTCAGATTTCAACTCATCTCTATCAGCAAGGGACAGATCAAGAAGTCAGAAAATCAGTACTGGAATAGTTGAAATCAACAGCATCAGGCATCAACTAGAGACATCTGCTCAGGTAGAACCACTATGGAGTGCACGTTCTTCTGCCTGTTCCTTTTGTAATGTTGGAGATTGAATCCAAGGCTTTGCAAATACTAGCTATGTGTGTCTACCACTACACCACATCCCAAGCTTCAGTACAAATTCTTGTCAAGATCACACTATAGCGGGAAATGAGGTTCAGGACACTGAGATCTGGAAGCAATACATTGTTCCTGTTGCCACAGCCCAGAGGGATAATTCCCAAAGTCTGAGCCCTGAGCACAGCAGGGCTTTTACTTTTTACATAAGTACATTTGGGGCACATTAAGGCAAGGGATTTGGTGCAATCCTACTGGAAGGTTCATTCTACATTTTTTATATGGATGCAAGCTTGTCAATATCCCAGGGACTCTCAGCTCTTACTGCTTAGGGACTTTTACTGCATTAAACCTAAAATAGGATTGTTCTGTCCCTGTTGCTTGGTTTACTGCTTCAGTTACTGAAGTTACGATTTACAGGTACCTGTTAGCCACCTCAAGCCTCTAGGTTTAAATGTCAGTAAGACAGTTTCTGTGTGTCCACAGGCAAAACCACAGCCTGTCAGCTCCTAAACTGCCAAAGTTCCCATTTTGCTCCACCACAATACAGAATCTTTACCAACATGGACCATGTTACAAGACATACCTTAACAAACCAAAGGAACACAAATTGTGGAGAATGGCCAAGCCCCAGTCATTTCTTATCCTGTGTGGTTGGCAAAAGCCAAGCCTGGGAAACATTCCTTGCCAAAACGCATGGATGTGAACAGCCTTGAAACTTGGCTCTGATGCTAACAGTTATCAAATGTTCCAGTACAGTGCGTTTTCTGGGCACAGCAGGATAGCTGCAAAGAGTTTCTAGCTTATAACTTTATAGTGCACAAAGAAGCCTCTTAATAACTCATAAGCCTTGAACAATTTACAGTGCCCTGATAGCTAAACTTCCTGATTAGAAAACCCTACATAATCAACTTGCCAAGCTACTTCTGGGTCACTGTTCCACTATCAGAGGGCAGTGTCCAACCTGGCTCCAGCTGTGCTTAAAAATGCCTCTGTTCTCTTTGTCTCTGTGTTTTTCTCCATCTCCATTGCCAACTTGAGATCCTTTGTTGATGCTGTATGGGTCTCAGCAAGAAATCAGTTGCTCACTTTCAGACCATACTGAAAAGAAACCAGCCATCAATAGCATAAAATAGCTAGAAAATGTCCCAAAATCACACAATACATAGCTGAATAGTATACACATCAAAGGAATTTAAGTATTTCAAAATATGTGAAAATGAACAAACATGTCTCTTGTGAGACACA